GGAAAAGTGGAGCTTAGAATGTGTAAGAGGCCCACAAGTTGAAATGAGGTACCCTGAAGTACGCAGAAAAGATCTGAGCAAAAGGCAGGAGTGCTGGATGAGAGTCTTAAAAGGGGCAGGAAACTAAGGCAGGACTGGTCAGAAATGCCTCTGGGTCTGATACCGCTCGGGGTGGGCAAACTCCCCCTGAAGGGCCAGTAAGCCAATACTACTGCTGTCTGCTCCACCCGCCGCGGGAGCTGGAGAGCAGCCAGACAGCAGGCAGAGGAGCGGGTGTCACTGTGCCACCAGGCTTGATTTACAAACACAGGTGCCTCCTGCTGGGTTTGGCCCACAGACGGTAGTTTTCAGATCCCCAACATAGTTAGGTACGGTCTGACTCGTGACTTGTGATGTTCAGTGTAACGTTGTGTGCCACTCTGAGTTGTGGTGTTATTTTCTTTTTCATCCCACACCTTTGGCTCATGGTAAGGCTGCACTGAGGTGGAATCATGGGTTGGGGCTGGCAGTAACCCCCACGGAGGACAGAACGAAGAGAGTCACAGGGGCCAAGCGAGGCAGAGAAGTCAGGGAATGTCAGAGCTCAGGGAAAGGTAAAGAGGTCTCGGGTCACACATTAATGGAGAATGGGGGACTTGAGGTGCAGCCAGGGAGCCCCAGCTGGGATTCCCCAAGAGAAACAAAAGCGCAGTCCTCAAAATTTCACAGCACACATCACAGAACGTAGGGTGCTTTGAAGACGCAGTGCCTGGGCGTAGCACTGTCAGGGTCCTCATGCGAACTCCTGGAAAAGGAAACACTTCAGAGACAAACAAGACAACACACAAGTGTATTTCCAGCTCATTAAGTACTTTCTTCCTTGGGCGGCATCAGTGGCCTTCCTCGGGCAATACCCTACTGGAATTCTGTTTCCTTTTTCAGTGTTTGTGCTGTCGAAACAGTCGGCATTCAGTAGGAGCACAGGTACCTGCTGTTTTCCTGACTTCTTAGCTGAGCTTGAGGATGGACGCAGTCGCTTTCTTGAGGACATAGATGGACATCCACTCCTTTAGGTATTTCATCTCTGTTATTGATAATTGGCAGAGAAGGAAAAAAAATCGGAAGACTCTCTTAGTCATATGTTTCAGTTTGAAAGGAATTTACATCTTTCATTTTGAGATTTTTAAGGTATACTAGACTTCAACTCATGCTCCTGACACCTTTTGGCCCTGCAGTCTTACACAAGGCTTCCTTCTCCTCCGACAGAGAATGTTCTATTTTGGGTTCTAGTAGCACCCACAGCTAGCGACAGCAGGAGCTGTCAGAAGGCTCGGCAGTCCTCCCCGCACTTGGAGTGCACACCCACACATCCATGGATCAAAAATATTTGAAACAAATTACAACTGTGCTGGACGCGTACAGACTTTTTCTTGTTACTAACCCTAAAAATACAGCTGTTTACATTGTCTTGTGGGTATTATAAGTGACCTCGAGGTGATTTATGGTACAAGGTCGCTTGTAGATAATATCTAGAGAGGGCCTACAACCAGTCAGCTTTGGACACTGAGGACTGGTTGTGCGTAGCAACTGCCAGTAAAAGGAAATATTTCATCATTTTCATATCAATAATTAACAATAATTTACAAAAAATTTACAGCCTACACCATGAAACAGGAACAAACAAATTAAATGAACAAATAAATAAATGCATTTCCAGCTCATTGAGAAGTTTCTAACTTCTCTGGCACCAGGGGCCTTCCTAGTGCAATACCTATTAAGATTATTTCCATTTTCAAAATTTGAGTTGTTGCCAACATTTCCATTCAGTATATGTACAGGTACCTGCTGTTTTTCTCCATTCCTTAATATAGTAGCTATAAAAATGTTCTTACTATCACGTATTCCCTCCAGTGTACATACGTCTCTATTTTATGTATCAAGGGCCTTTTTTATAGGAATTACCACCGCTCTCTGTGAGGTAATATTCTGGTTGTTGCTCAGGTTTTCTTTTACTTCCCTTTGACTCCCAGGAGGAGGCAAAGACAGCTTATATATTCTTGGAGAATATGGTTATACTTACCGTTTTTTGCGCTTTAGAAATATCCAACAGAAAACAATTATGGCTAGAATAAGGAAGATCACACCACAGGAAATGCCTAGGGGAAAAGAATAAACCCAGAACAAAATAAAGTAATTAAATGCATGAAAGATATTCAGGGATTTTAAGCTCCATGTTAATATCTAGCCCCACTAGAGGTTGAAACTGATCACCCCTCCCCAGGGAGTGAACCCAGGGGTAATCCAACACCGAGCTACATCCTCAGTCTTTTTTTAAAATTTTATTTTGAGACAGGATCTTCCTAAGTTGCCCAGGCTGATTTACAGTCCTCCTGCCTCAGCCTCCTGGGTAGCTGAGATTTCAAGCATGCACCAGCATGCCTGACTTGCCAATTATTTTTTTAAAGATGTAACTGTTAAGTTCTGCTTTCCCCAGGTACAGCATTATTCTCACTACCACAGGGTTATAGTGAGCAAAGTGGTTCTGTAACCTTCAGCCCCTTCAGCAGTCGGGTGGGAAACAGCTCAGGTGCCCATGCGCCTGCCGTCTTTTCTGTGTGCCAGTTCTCTCAAAGCGATTTCCTTACATGAGCAGACCGCAGAAGTGAGCTCAGCAAACTGTCTCACGGCTTTCAGACTGCATAAACAGGCACAATTACTACCCTGAAGGGTAGCCCCTGGATATAAAGCAAGAGGAAGTTGCCTTTTACAGCCTATTACAATGAAGAACTGACACTGAAGAATGAGTCCACAAAAGCAGAACACCTTTGATGAAGGATACTCTATGTGTATTAGGATAACAGCTCAGCCATTCCCTGGTCTAAACTTGTCTTTACTTTTCATTTAAATTGGATTTATTAGACAAGACCATTCAATCTCCCTTTTAACATTTCATCCATTGTAAGGAAATACTGCTAAAGATGCTAGAATTTCTTGGCAAACCCTTCACAAAACTTACCAACAACCGTGGAAACATTATGTGAGCCTAAAGGAAAGACAAAAACCACAAAAACTTCAGTCTGGCACGTGATATAATTGAACAAAAGTTGTAGCCAATACAATAATCCTGATTTTTCTTCCTTACTCAGTTAAATACCGTTTTTTTCCCAAATATAAAAAGCCTTTGGTTTCATTTCTATTTCATTTTATCTTGTGTACTAGGTGGAGATTTTTTTCTTTTTAAATTAATACTTTCATCATAAAGGTAATATAATTTGAGCAGCAAATTTGTAGAATGGAACAAAAAAAATCACTCATAATCCTAATACTCAAAAATGCTTTGGTACATTCCTCTATTAGCTTTCCTGTCAATGAGACTCAATACCTGACACCCACAATTTAAAGGAGTAAAGGCTTAATTTAGCTCTTGGTTTCAGGAGATTCAGTCCATGGTCAGCTGGCTCCAAGGTGGAAACATCATGACAGCAGGGCATGGCAGGCAAAGCTGCTTAGTTCATGGCAGCAGGGAAGCGGGGCAGAAGAGCAGTGCCAGAGAGGAGTGGGTGAGGTGGATGGATCATAGTGTATTCCACGATTTCTATAGCATATTTAAATTGTTTCTAGTCTTCTTTGTCATGAAACTCAATAAAATGCATAAAATATTTTTATATTTTATATCACTTCATTAGATTAGATTCCTGGGGAGCTAACTGGCATCAATATCTGTATTATTTTCTTCATCCCTTGCCTAACTGTTTCTCATAAGAGTTTTTGCCAATTTATAATGATACTTTCAACATGCAACAATACTGGTTTCATCACATCTTGCTTTTTATTGGGAGGTCACCTAAAACCTCTGTGCTGTTAATTTAACGGGGGAAATGTCATCTTGTTCTTTTCCTTTGCGTTTCTTCAGTTATAGTGAGGTTAAGCAGTTACCATATATTTATGTGCCAAGGTAAAAAGGTGTCTCCACTCTTCTCTGAATCTTGCCTGGTTGGGTAGCTTCTGCATTTCCCTCCTCTCACAGGCTGTGCTGTGCTGGACCACGTGGGGCTGGAAACTCCATTTACCTTAGAAATGGCACTGGCACTTTTGTGACTGAAGAGGACCAGAAAGTGGAGCAGAAGGGGACAGATCAGCCAACTTGTCTGATCTTTGGAGGGAAAGTCTGGGTAGAAAAGAGAGAAGCTAGGTTCTGGGAAGGCAGTTGCTCTAATGGTTGTGACCCTGGGGGACAGAAATGGGTCAGATGGATTTTAGGACATTTCTATAAGTGCTGTAGCATGTAATCCTTCTTTAACCTCTCTGAGAGATTCCAGTGGAGACGTCTTGGTTTTTACATCTTTTCTGGAGTTGAACAGATCTGTCTTGCATGCGACACTTGTTTACACTGGAATTGAGACACGCAGTTAACTTGTGTTAAAGATGCTGATATGGGTGATAAGGGGGACCTCAGAGTTCCTTCAGGCTGAACTCACTGGCCCACTGACTTGGGGATGTGGTAGAAATTCATTCTTTGATGCCTGTACTTCGAAGCTGCTTCTCTTATTTGGATTGCTCTAGGACTCCCCATGGGGTGTCATTCCAAGCCTGGGCCCTTCCACGATTTAAGTCCTGGTGTGCTGTTTAGCAAGGTCTAGGACTGCTATCTTCAGCAACCTCTCCTAAGACACTTGTTTGTTTTCTGTTTTCCATAGTCTCCTCTTTTTTGCCTCTTCTCACAAGAAAACAGCAAGATCCGGATGAAGAGACTACGGATATGAATGCAAAGGGAACTGCTTTACTCTGGGCTGCAGTCCAGAGGCACAAAAAGAGTTCACAGGAGGAGTTCATACTGAAGTATGAGTTCCAAGGGCCGAGGATCTCAGTGGTTCTGATCTCAGTGGAGCTCAGTGGTTCTGCCACCTGCCTTGCAAGCACAAGGTCCCGAGTTCAATCCCCGGTACAAAAAGAAAAAAAAAAGTATGAGTTCTAAACACCCACTGGTTAACAGTCACGTGGTTTGTTCTTATTTTTTGTGTGCCTCTCTCCATCTGCCTGGGGAATTGGCTATTGCCTTGTTTGTGACCTTGCCCTAAGAGCTTTCACTGTGACTAATAACAGCATGTTCTCTCTTACTGAATCACACATTTAGGATCTTTGCCCATTTATTCATTGTTAAAGCACACAGTCTCTGTAGGTAGGTTAAAAAGGCTATCTGGACCCAGGCTACCCTATTGTGTGATCTTGGGCAATTACTTAAATCCTTTTTGTCTTAGTTTCTCTATCTGGAAAATGGGATAACAGGAATCCTACCTTCCTCATAAATTGTTGTGCGCATTAGAGTCTATCTTTCTATCCCAGTCACTACCTCATCTTTAAAATATATAACAAGCTTAGTGCAAATTAACTTTTACAATTATTACTGTTACCACAAACACCAGTTCTGTGCTGATCCTATTTTCATTATATTTTCCAAGTATTTCCCAACTATCTAATACCTTCTTTCAGAGCACCTAAGTTTTAAGTCCAAGTAATCAACAGGTCAAAGAGGTTAACACCTTTTAAGATTTTTTCAATCATATTTTGGTTCAAATACTTGGCCTTGCTTTTCTTTTCTTTTTTCATTTCTCTTCTTTTCTTTTCTTTTTGAAAGTGCTAAGGATCAGAGCCAGGATCTAAGAATGGAGGCTGCATGTTCTTCCATCGAGCTACATTCCTAGGCCTGGCTGTTTGATAAATACACTTTAAAATTTTTTGTTTTTCTATAGCTTGACTTTAAAATGTTTTTAACTCTATTAACCTTGTATTTAAGGCTTTTAAAAGGTTTTAAATTTTTCCAATGCTAATTATATTAATGACCTTCTCTTTCTCATAGATTTATAATGCCTCTTTTATTATGCCTATAAAACAATTTCATTTTTATTTATAATAAATGTTTATCTTATTATATAAATTTTCTCCATTTACTTACATTTTGATGCTAGTGCAAAGTGAGTTAGGTACTATGCCTTTATGTTTTAATATATGGTAGGGTTGGTTCTCCAATGAACTGGATTACCTGTCAGTCCAGCAAGATTCTCAGAACCTCTAAGGACAATCAGTTATCCAGTGAACTTTTTGCTAAAGAAGTGAATATAATTTGCTATTGGGATGGTGAATTTATAATTTAGAAACATTTAAGTAGTTAACACATTTAAGGGATTAATTGTAAAAAATGGATGATGAACAATCCGAGGTGTAAGATCAGACCGAGGCATGATTGAAACCACCGAGGCAGGCAGAGTCTAAGCAACATGCCATGAGTTTATTGCCGCCTGGGTGCAGAGGGCCAAGGGTGAGAAGGCCGCTGGCACTGCGAGGAGGGCGCTCACGGTTGATATAGGGGAGTTTAGGTAGGGAGGGGGCACTGGCCGAGCGGGTGGGAGATTTCAGGGCCCGTGGTGATGGGCTGGGCTGGCTGATACCCAGGGCGGTGGGGAGCAGCGGGCGGCTGCGGCTTCTTGTGTCCTCTGCTCCTGTGGATGCGGGGAGTGGGGCTGCTCGGGTGGGGGTCCGACTTGGGGGACCTGTCACTCGGTATCTAACATGTATTTTAAATAAGAACCTTAAGAGTTGGGGAGAGAGGCAAGTCTAGCACTCAGATTTAAAAATATTATTTGTTATTAACTCTGCTCATCTGCCCCTTGACCTGTACAAGTTCACACTTTCCTACTTTTTACCTCCCAGCTCCATCAAATTGCCAGAAAGGGTGCCAGAAAGGGATTCCTAAAAGGGCCTGCCATGCCCTGCTGTACCAGCTTAACACCCTATACCACAGCAGTGAGGTGGCAGCCTGCTGCCGCTGGGACAGCTCGCCTGCCCCATGCCGGGAACATCTCTTGCAGGCCTGCACTGCCGCTGATGTGCTCCTGGCTTTGAAGGCTCACAGGCTGTAAATAAATCCTCAGGGACAGAGAAGAATAAGGCAGAGGGGTTCTCCAGAGAGCTGGATGGGTGAAAAGTGTGAGGAGAAAAGGGGCTTTCTGAGAAGAGGTGAGGACCGACAACCCTTAGCTCTTATGTAGGGGAAAAGAGACCCCTGCCACACCCCTCGGTCCTTATGGGGCCTCTTGGGCTAGATCTAGACCCAAATTACCCTGTCAGCACCTAGGGATCCATTTTTAGAACACCCACAGCAATGGAACACAGTGAACTGTATTCTCTTCAAATTCTTGTTCCTTGAATTTTTCTAGGTAGCATATAGGAATTTCATGCAAAAATTCAAAAAATTTCAATCTTTGGCATAAATGCATTGATACAAAGCTGATGAACAAGAGAAAACCATACACATTTTACTAAATTTGCATGTTAATGAAGAGCTTCACAAGAGAAAATCAAAAGAAATTATCTAAGCAAGATACTTTTATACTCTTTAGACAAAGAACAGTGAATGTGTAAAGGAACAGAGGTCAAAGGGATCTGCGGACGAAGGTCAGCTCTATGGCTTTCCTTAAGAGATGTATGTTCGGGGAATGTGAAAGCTAATTCAACATAAATTTACTCCAATGAATTCATTTATTTAGGTTTTTACAGCCCCAATTTCCAGTCTCTAGTGATCAAGGTTATTTTCCTGCCTCAGTATCGGTAAGACACCCCTCCTAAAATAATTTTTTCTGGTAGTGGCAAGGATTAAACTCAAGCCTTGTACATGCTTGCCAAGTGCTCTACCATGGAGCTCCACCTCTGAATCTTTAAAAACAAATGCTGATGGTCCAATGGCCCTTTCTGCAGGTGATTTCAGCTTGAAATAACCAACACAGCACGCAGGCATATTCTGAGATGGTATACGTCCTCAGGGCCTGCACGAGCACATGCTGTAACACTGCAGCACAGTGGGGACGGGACAGATGACGCATGAACCGTACTTGGCTGAGCAGGACCTCATTCCCCATGAAACTGCACTCACCAGAGGTGCAGCTGCCTAGAGAGGGCTTCCAACTGCCATCCGCCTGGCACTGGCTTTGGGGACTGCCGTCCAGGGTGTACCCAGCCTTACACACTAACATGACAGCATCTTCATAGTGATATTCTCGTCTCAGTTTGAGCTCCTCCAGGATTCCATTCAAAAGCTCACTTGGGAGGCTACACTTTACCTCTGAAATTAGAAAAACCAGAAGTAAATGGTTATGTTGTCACTTGAAATCACTCATATTAGAAAGATCTATAACCCCAAACCCAGCATGTTTCAGTCAAGTATTATTGACCCTTCCCCACCCCAAACACCTTAGTCCTTAAAATTTTCTGATTTTCATTTCTTATGTACAGTAAGGGACTATGGAATATGTTTGATTATTAACAACTTTGCAACTGAAAAGTCATAGGAGGACCAGGAGTTAGGACAGCCAAATTCTAGGCACAGATCCACTGGGATCAGACCTTAGAGACGCAGCAATACTGCGTTCACTCTCTAGGGACACAACACATGCTGGTTTGCTTTGCTCTTGATGTAATGGACATTTCTGTCCCATTTCTATACAAAGAAGTAAGTCACGATTCTGAATTTAAAGTACCACTTTTAAACAAAAGAATGACAAGAAAATAAAAAAGAAAAACTTAAAAAACAATTTTAAAAACCAAAAACATCATTATCATACTTCATTTACTTTGCCTTTTTTTTTTCTTTTTCTTTTTGGTACCAGGGATCAATCTTAGGACCTTGCTCTTGTTAGGCAGGTGCGGTGCCACTGAGCTACATCCCTGGCCCAGTTTACTTTGTCTTTTTAACTCATCCTTTGATTTGTGTTTTCTACCCAGCCATCAAGAACTCCTTCAACTTTAAACAAAGCCTCCTTTTCCACTGTAACAGTCTCAAAATTAGCTCGAATATTTTTCTCTTTCTAAGCACCCATAAGGTAAAGTGGCAGTTCTTCAAGGTACTGTGGTCTTCCTATAGAATATTATAGCGGATTTGTTAAAAATAGACTTCTGATCCCTTCTTTAACAGAATCAGAGTCTCTGGAAAGGAGCTCATTTGCTGGTGCCGAGACTAAAGCATGCTTGAAGAGGATTGTCATTAAGACAAAATGATTTTCATGTGAATGAGAGAAAAGCAGCTACCAAGAGAATAAAATACTGGCCTTTTGTTTTCAGAAAGAGAACTTTCCCAGAGTTTCAGCTTGCATCTTTCAAATATTTCTGACTTTTCACATTCTTTTTAGGCAACTGAAGCAAGGAGGGAAGAACTTCCAGGTGCTCAGAGCCCTAAGGCTGTGCATCTCCTGCAATCTACTCTCCCGATCAGCACAATGACCATGACCGAGGTTGGCCTCATTTTCTGTCGCTGAGAGGCTCAGGAGTGTGAGGGATTCTGAGTCTGAGGACAGGGAAGGCCCTCACTAGCTGCTCTCTAACATCTGAAACACCTGAGGCCCTGCCCATGCCATCCCCCCCACCTTGGCCTAGTATTTCTAAAAAGACAGAATAGGTAAAAATATAAAGAGAAAGCAAAGTCACTTATAGTTTTGTGATACCCAAAGAACCCCATCTGAAAGGGACCTCATTCAGTTATTCAGCTCAGTGTTCAACAGCAGCACCTGAGCTGAGGCCTCACCCTCAGCACGGCCACTCACAAGCTACGAAACTTGGAACTAGTTATTGGATCTCTCTGACCTCAACTTCTTCTGCTGCTGGACTGCAAGAATAACAGTACAAGTTCACCAGGTTCTTTTGGACTCTAATGTTAATAACTTTTGTGAAGACCTCAGGACCCTGCCTAGTCATATTATTTTTAATGCACTATTTGCAGCTTTTTAGACACTGTTAAGAAAGATTTAAACATCAGGCACTTGTGCCCAAATGATTAAGGTTCTCGGTATAGAAAACAAGGGCAGATCCCACCACCAGGTGTGTTTTGCAAACAGATTGATAGAGAGGAAATAATCCTTGGAGAATTGTTCCATGGAGCAGATAAAATACGCACTTTACCTTTGGCCTTGTGGGTTACAAAGAGGTTTCACTCAGTGTGAGTTATTTGCTCTCAGTCTTTTGCTTATCTGTAGAGGACAAGACACTCCTTTGCTTCCTGCTTCAGTTTGCCACATAACAAAGTATGCTTCCGGTCACTTATTTGCCTTCTAAGGGCGTTTATGAGGACTACCTGTGACCCTCTGGAGTTCTGCAGCGCTATCAGTTCAAAGCCAGCAAAGCACTGAAAACTGGTGTGTGACAGCAGCTGCGTTACCGGAAATCCCAGCCCCCATGGCACGCCTGGGTAGAGACAAGGACCCCCGGGCAGCCTCCCTTCCTGCTTTTGGTTCTTCTTTTCCCCTTCTGTTGATACTCATCTCACTATCTTCTTGACCTTATTAAATCAACATCATTTCAGAGATCTCTCAGGCTTATTAGCCTCGTGCATCCATTTTCCATAATAACTCAGAAAGGATAAGAAATTAGATACTTGTGCAAAAATGATCAAGTCGGCTCCAGGTTCTCTGGTCTGTACAGAATATGAAGTCAGATCCCTCCACCAGGTAGCCAGGGTCACAAGTGTAGAGGAATTTCATCCCAGGAAGATAAGAAGATGCATGCTTTCCAATGGGATGCCCATTCTGGATCTTAGGTGGATGTGGGCATGCTAAGAACATATTTCCACACAAACACAAAAAGAGACTTCCGGTTAAACATACAAGTGTGAACATGTCAACACTCATATCTCTGGTCACTAGAGGTGCATGAAGACTTGAGACAGGTGGGTCACAACCCTTTATGTGTTAGCTAATGAGTGGAAGGCTGCTTATGTAACCCAGACCTCAGCATCTAAACACGATCTTCTGTATTCTCTACCCGCACTGAGTATCAGGTAGAAGCTACCACTTCCATGCTGTTCTGTCCTTCCTGGAGGACGGAGAGCCCGTGTGGGCCATCACAGCCCCAGATGAGCCACAAACACGGACAAGGAACGCACTACAGAGACTAAGGGCACGGCCCTAACCTGCACTTCTCCACGGCTCCCTGCATTCCCTGTATTCATGGTGAGCTGAACAGCCATGCAGCCAGTGGCTCCAAGGAAACACTTGGGAGTAACAAAAAGTATCCAAGCCTACATCTCAGTTTAATTACTTCTGTAGCCTTCTTAGTTCTGAAGTAATTATGACCCGGATACTTTGCTCACCATGCCCATCTCTAGTATAAGGACAACTGGTGGTAGAGATGTCATAAAAGAGTATTTCCTTTGACACTTCCTTTCAGTCCTCTATGAAATCTGCAGCTTATTGGTTCTCTTCACTCTCTATCCTACATGCTCACTACCCAGGTAGAGCCACCAGAGTATCACCAAATTGATCTACATCAACTCTGACTTTTTTCTTTCTCCTGATTAGGTCTAGGCTGGTCTCGACCTTCTAGGCTCAAGAGATCTGCATGTCTCAGCCTCTCGAGTAACTGGTACTACACATGTGTACTACCAAGCCCAGCTAGAATGGTACCAATTAGGGCACAATGCAGTACATCTAGAACCCATCTGTTATTCACCTGTGTCTCTGGCATTTATAATAAAGCCATGTTCATAAGCAAAAATTGGCTGCCACTATGAACATACGGAGATTCTTGCCCAGATTAGCAGCCCACTAGGACACACAGAAGTTGGTACTGACCAGAAAGAACAGAAAGCTCACAGTGAGGGGCAGGGCCACTCCAAATCCCATTCCCTTGACTGTCATTTATGCAACGGATGGTGCTCTCCCCAATAAGGCTGAAAGTCTTCCCTCTGTCTGGGTGGGGGTCGCATGCATAAGATATTTCTTCTCCATAAGGAAAATCCCTCAGAGAAGTGCCTGTGTACTTCCCATTGAAGATAGCTGGAGGGTTTGGACACAAGATTTCTAGAAAGAAGATAAGAGCTTTAAGTTCTATTAGCGTTTCAATCAAGATAATTAACACGAGAATGGTGCCCTGTCCCTGTGTTATTGCTGAGTTTTCAATGAATTTGGGAGATAATTACTTTGGTTTTTAACAACCGCTTGCTTGGCAACTTTACAGCAGGTACAGTAAGAGTCCTGGGTTGACAATGGGTATGTGACAGATGAGGTTTCGGTCCTTAGAGACCTTAAATTAGAGGGAAGTTTCTGAAGCATGTACCAACATCTTTAGTAAATGTTTCTGGGTGAATCGAGGCCATTGTCCTCAGTACCAATACAGTGGTATCATCAGTCTATATTGGTAATTATAGAGCTCTTTATATACAGATTATATGGCTCTAGAGACCTTTCTTTTTTGTTTTTTCCCCTATCATTCAAACTACCAACTGTCATTTCTTCCTGCATTTAGTGTATATCTTTGAAGCAGTTCTTTCCTTAAAACAAATTTGATATTTCTAATTTGATGTGAATTTGGTAACAGATACCTAAGTTTATCGGAATTGTGCATATAAACATGTAAGAGCCTTCATACAGTAGTGATTAATTTCATATATGTAAAATGTACTTATCTATCTTTATCTCAAGTTTAGTTATATATTTATTTTCAGTTGTATGAGTCTCTGGAAGGCTGCGTTTGTTGGGTATCTGAGTTTCCTGTGTATTGAATGTTTTCATAAAGTTTCACCCTATACCCACCATATGAGAGACAGATTACTAGCAAGGTATTTTCACAAATTTAGATTGAAATGAACATTTTTCTGATCATTAGAAAAAAGGATTTTAAAAAAGTAAGTCTTGTCTTGGGAACTCAGTAATGTCTTGGTATAGGAAATCACAGAGAACAGGTGATTCCACAAGGCCAAGGCTGAGAAGAAATAAGGAAAGCTATCCCGGGCCACAGAGTTCTCTTTCCTACTCACGTTCACACACAGGAACACTGCTATTCCAAAGGCTTTTCATTTTATCCAAGACACAATGACTAGTAGAGCTGCCTTTTAATCGGAACCTAAAAAACAGTGGGGAGCGAATGGGTGAGCCTTCCCCATCTGTCCCTCTATCTTTTCACTGAGAGATGCTCAGCTTCCTCACTTCCTCCCAGAGCATCTCGTTTGTAGGGCTAGGCCCAGCTAAAAGTCTCAGTTCACTAATGCATCTGAAGTCTGCAGCTGACAGAAGCCTAGTCCACGTTATCCTGAAGAACCACAGCACCCTGCAACGGGTAACGAGCTCAGAGCTGGTGCAATAATCTTGCGCACACTTCCCGGTTCAGTGTCACCTGCCGGAGGCGCTGAACACAGAGCAGACTTCCTGAGGGCACAAGACCGTAACTGCAGAGCTCACTGTGCCCCGAGAGCCAGCCGAATGGGTCAGGAGGGAACATCCGGAAAGAGAACAGGCGTTGTTCTCCCTGCTACACAATGGTACGGGGCAAGCTGGGGCTCGAGGAAGAACACAGAACCCAATGATCTGGGGAAGAGAGAGGGTTGAGGGTAGCAGTCCGCCTGCCGCTCTGAAACACCCCGCTCATTATCAGATCCGCTATCCTTCTGAATCAGGCTGAAATCTAGAGTCACTGAAACCGGAAACTGGGATTGGGGAGGAGGTTCTGAAAATGCCAATAATTTAATAAGAAATTATTAAAAAGTAGGGCCGGAGATTTAGCTCAGTGGTCCTGCCGCCTGCCCCGAAAGCGCAAGGACCTGAGTTCGATCCCCTGTCGAAAAACAACAACAACAACAACAACAGCAACAAGAACTGCTTTGTTATCCAAGCTTGTTGCTTCCCGCAGACCAGTAAGGCCCGCTGCCCTGCCCGTCGCGGATTCACATGGACAGCAACCGTGGCTCATGGTCCTAATGTGAAGGCCACTCCTGACATAAAGTTATGTGACTGGACTAAAACATACTCATCCACACACTTACAAATTTCACTACTGACTGGTCTTAAGTGCCCGGAAACAACCCTTGTCTGGTTTATTACTGGGCAGACAATTTTTGCTGCATTCATCAAGCATTCTTTCTAGCAACCTTCTATAAAATTGTGATTTTCCACCTCCAAAGAACTATTCATCCATTCACTTCAAGTTTCAGCCCCAACTTCAGTATCAGCAAGTGTATCTGTTTGCATTCGACATTGAGTCCTGATAGTGGCGCCAAGGAGTCCTTCCCCTCATTGCAAAACTGCCCTTCCGGCAGTTTATCGCCCCATGGACTTCTTTTCCACCAGGTGAGCCTTCTTCCTGTATTAGCCAGTCAATTCAGGAGTCCCTGTCGAGCACTGGTCTCTGTTTGGATCGTACTCACCCTTCCTTACAAGCAAAGGACACTTTCGCTCCAAGCTGGAGGTTCGGTGGAAATACCACATGGCCATTAGGGAGCTGGTCTGGGAAGATATCACATAATATCACTACAAGGAAGGAAAAAAAATAACTAGGAGTAAGCCTGCCCATGGCGTGGCAAAGAATATGATGTGAGAGCCAACCAAGACTCCACCCACCTACACAGGATGGAGGCGGAGGGCTCCAGTGGCCCTGGGGGGTGCAGTGCAGGTTGGCAGCCCCTCGGAGGTCATAGCCCGGCTCGCAGCTGTAGGACACTTCCTGCCCGGGGGAGAAGGACTTGCTGCCGGTGGTGTGCTGCCCATGCGGGATTTTGGGAGGTGGCTGACACGCTGTGGGAAGATCAGGCCCAAACTACCTGTTAGTTTTGGGGGAACGCTTGCTAAGCCAGAAGCCTTCCACAGAGTGAGTCATGCTTCACGGCTGTACTCTCATCTGGAATGTCCCCCACCGGCTCCTGTGCTAAAGGTTTGTCCTCCAGCCCAGGCCTCTATCGGTAAGTGGAGGGGCCGTTCAGATACAGGGCCCAGTTGAAAGTTTTAGGTCACTGGAGCTTTGTCCTTGTAGGGGTCGTGGGATCCTCTTTTGCTTCCACTCCAGAAGGCAGACAGTTTGCTCTGCCACACGCTCCCGTCCACGAGGCACTGCCTTGTCACAGGCCCAAAAGCAATGGGTCCACCAATCATGAGCTCAAACCTCCACAACTGTGAGTCCAGCGAAGCCTTTTTTTTACCTATGGGTTGATTTATCTCGGGTATTTGTCACAGGAATGGAAAGCTGAGTAACACAAAGGGGCTTAGGTACAAGAGAGGAAGTCGGGTGATGCTCCACCTGGCTTATATTCACGAAGGGAGAAGTTAAGAACAGGTAAAAGAGAGCCAAAGGCCCATGGCTGGTAATACAGCTGGAGAAACAGAATCCAGTTCTCCCAGCACAGGCCTCAGTTCACTCCTACACCGACAAGGCCCAAGGCTCCTCCTCCTTGCTGTAGCTACGCAAACAGAGCTGTGAGTATTGCCGGCTTCTCCACTGCATTTTTCTGAGGAAGGCAACTCTAGTGTTCGGTCTCATTGTTCAGGTAATGAGAAAGTTGCCCAGACCAAGCCTTAGTGGATTTCCTTTTGTCTTTCTGGTAGCCTGCAGTAGTCACGAAGACACGCTCACATCTCTTTGTCCTCCATGCAGCTCTCTCAGCGACTGCACAAGGCTGTCACAGGTCGGTAGAAGAACTCTAAGCTCCTTCTTGCTCCTGTGCATCAACCACAAGTCCTGCCAGTCTACTGCTAAGCCAGCCACTGGGCATCAGAAGACAAAATGAGCTGTCTAGAACCAAAGCCCCCGACTGGGCCAGTCCTTGTAAGGAGAGGCCACACTGGACTCATGGTCACCTAGATTTATTTTTGGTGGGAGCTTACGGCATCAGAACATGTTTGAACGTCAACCTCATCTGTGTCTAATTAAGATGAATGGAACACTGCCTTGGCTTTGAGCAAGTTACTAAAGACACCCCTGACTTTAGATTCCTAAAGATAAAACGTAGGAACTAGACCATCATAAACTAGACTCCAAGGTGCCTTTCACCGGCTCTGATGCTATATCCGTCTTCATAAGCCAGTTTCTTCCTGTCACTGATAGAACTAGGGCAAGAACCAGAGCACTCTGGCCCTGGGGTCTGACACGCTTGCCTTTTTTAATCCTGGGCTTGTCACTTTTGCACGTGACTCGGACATTTTACTTAACCTCTGAGAGACCAAGTGAACTTTATTTCAAATGAATGTCACCGTAGCCCTATTTCAAAGTGATAAGTACAGCGAAAATGAGAGAGGATGTATGTGAGAGTGTTTGGCACGTGGCTGCCCAGACAGTCCGTGGGATTCTTCGCTACTGCAGAGGCCACACGGCTGGCATTTGCCCTGTGACTAATGTAATGAGACAGAACCAAGCAGCTCCCTTCTGGGCTATTAAAGCCCTTCTCAAAGCGAAGATGCACAACGACAAGAGCACACACATCAACACAACTTCCCCTCAGACTACGCACCCAAGCTGCTCACCACACACAAGCAGCGACACACACTGCTCCCCTGCTCTCCCACAGCTCCCGGCACCTGGGCCCTCCCAGACTCAGTCCAACTCACCCACGGAGCAGCTCGGTAACTCTGGCCCCCACGTGCCTGGGGCCTGGCACTGCACACTGGAGGGGCCCCTCATGACAAAGCCAGGCCGACACGTAAACTCCACGATTTCATGTAAGGAAAAAAAGCTTCTGTTTTCAGACACCATGACTGCATTCTCCACGTGTGGCGGTGGGCACTTGTTAAGTTCAATGCACCGAGGGGGGGGGGCACTCCAGATGCCCACTTGGTCATCCCTGCTGGTGCAGAATATGCTGGGCTCCCCCACGAGGTCAAAGACCTTCCCTCTTACTCCAGTATTGCAGCGATAGGTCACCACCATTCCATATACAAAATGTTCTCTGTTGGTGCTAAAGAAATCTCCATTGGCAATGGCTGGGGGTGGCTCACAAGTAATCTCTTCAAAAGAGACAGTAAATTAATAGAATTCCAATTTCCTAAAGTTATATTTAATTAACAAGTTTGGTAACCAACTTAAACAAATGATCATAGGTAATCACAATATTGTTCTTATCTGATCTTTGCCAATATGCAGACTTATTTTTGTGCATTTGCAGATTAGGTAACCAGAGTATTATGGGATGTGCTTTTCTCAGTTAATATTATTGCAATAAATGTATCCATATCTTCTTATACCACATATGTTTGTCATTTTAAAAGAGAACTTAATTATGTTCCTTCGCCATTATTAATTCACTTTTCTTTCTACTGAAAGCATTTGGTTTTATTCTGTTCGTTACTAGCAATGTAAAGTATACAGTATAGCATCTTTATCCAACAAGAAAAAAGAAAATGCTCCAGCAGAACTCATTAAAACAGGCAAAACACAAATATACTGCATATAATAGACACAGAAATTGCAGATTCAGCTGTAATAAAAACAGAGTACCGTACCCCACTTATACAAAAGTGAAAGCATGAGAGATAAACATATATTTTGCCAATGTTAACTCAAGAAAAGTTAGAAATTTTGAATACCCCACCAATGCAGAATAGAAAAATGTATTACAGATGCTACTCCTGAAAAGATACGAAGCAAAGCTGATTTTCAAGACAAACTTAACTGTTAATGTGAAATTTTTTCCTACACACACCCACACAGGGCCCTCACAAAACACAGTTTTCTAAAATACCTTTGGGCTGAACAATATTCAGTACTAAGATGTTCTATCCGATTCCATTTGGAAGAACTTCTCTATGATTGGCCTCATTTTGGCATATTTAAGCTTTTTAAAAAAATTGAGCAGAACACATGCCTTGGTCCTTTCAGCAGATTATTTCCAAAACACTGCTTGGAAAATGCTCAGCATTTAGATGATTTGGACCTTTCTACCCCTGCTTGTCATGAAGAGTAATTAATGTAGGTAACGTCTGTGCAGCAGTGCCTTCCCCCAAACTCACAGTGGCTTTTCAGAGTCTATCACAAACGGCAGAACCTGGATTGGGGATGCACGACACTGAGGTTCTGATCCTGCGCGCACAGCCTCTGCTCTTCCAGAGAATGGGTTCCCACTTCTCTTCCCACCCACCATGCCTGCAGTTGTTGCTGTCCCCACGATACCTGCACACCCAGGATCACAGCCTTTCCGCTCCTGTTAAACGGCCGTTGTGCGTTCCCTTGCTCCTTTCTGGCCCTAAGAGCAGGGCGCTCACTTGCACACAGCACTCGGGGACGATGACATGATATTGTTCAGACCAGGGTAAGACGGAAGGGGGAGATGCTTGCTTTCCACACATGGAGAGAGCTGCAGAGCAAGTGCTGCTCTCACCAGCTCTGTGTTGACTCCACCAAACAGAATGCCCTTCAAACTGGGAAGTGTTCCACTCACCAAAGTGGAGGTTGGGTTGCATAAAAAGAAGTCAAGGGTACATTATTGGTCTCCAAAGCCACAGGTTCCTAATCCACAGTTTCAGTCAAGGATTGAAAATATTTGGAAAATATTCTGAATATGCACAGAATTTTTTCTGTCATCATTCTCTAAAAAAAAATAGCATGGGGCCGGGGATTTAGCTCAGTGGTTCTACCGCCTGCCTCGCAAGCTAAGGACCCGAGTTCGATCCCCGGTACCAAAAAAAAAAAAACAAGCAGAAAAAAAATATCATGCCAACTATTTATGTGGCATCCATGCTGTATTAGTTATAAGTAAACCAGAGATGATTTAGAATGTATAGGAGGATATGTTAGGTTATGTGCAGCTACTATGCCATTTGATAGGAGGACTTGCGCACCTGTGGCTTTTCGTGTCTGCACAATATCCACGAATCCTCTGCTACAGATACTGAGTAGCAACTGTAGTTTAAAATAAATTACACTGCCAAAAGAGCAAATACCAGCTGGGTCTAGCAATTTGTAATGCTGTGAGCAATTTTAAGGATATTATTGGATCCTCCAGAGATTAGAAGGATAAACTTTCCAAGAGGATGAGATTTATTCTTTCTAACTTGGGGGGGTGTGGGAGCAACTCTAGGGTCAACACATGGATAAATGGGCAAAGAGATTCCAACTTACGTTCACAAGTCGGCAGCTGTGTGTCCCAGCTGACAGTGTTTCCTGAGATGATACATTCGGCGGATGACTTGCCAATGAGTCGATACCTAAAAGACAACCATGGAGAAATGATGTGGTGCGTGTCCTCTCAGCGTCCTCGTTAGCAGCGCGCTTGGCAGATCTGAAAGACTGCAGTGTGAGACGTGGAGAGGCAGGCGAAACTGCCTGTACATCCAGCCTGTTCGCCTCTATCCTCTCCGGGTGAAGTGAGTATTTCTATTCTAGCTCCTCATGGACTATTCTCCTTCTCAATTTCTTGGCTTCACTGTAGGTGATACCAGGCACAAAAATAAAACAAGCTTTCTGTACATGCTTGATAATTTTTTTCTTCAATTCTGTGTGTGTGCGTGTGTGTGTGTGTGTGTGTGTGTGTGAGACAAGGCAGTGTTTGTGTATTTTTACATTTAGTATTTGCTGTGTCCTTTATTTGAGGCATGTTTATTGGAAAGACACATACGCGATATTTTTGAAGTACTTAGAAGTTTTTGGCTTTAGAAAGGGAGATTGGGCCACATTTACTGAAGTCAGTATGTCTGCTCCCACTTCCGTCAGTCTTCCAACTGCCTCTTTCACTTATTTCACGATGTCCAACAAAGCAATGAATATATCTGATTTGCCCTGCACATGAGGGGGTTTATTTCTGACACGAGAGACAGTATTTGTTTTCCTTCTCTTTACCTCTTGTTGCTATGTAGACCAAATAGGTTCAGCTCTTTGATTGCTTCTAATAAATTGAAGTTAACATCTTATTTTTCCTATGTCATATATATGCATATGAAATAAATGTAACATCTATTTCTCTATATATCTCACATACATTTAAACCTAATTTCTCAATTTTAGTGTTAAAGCATGTACAATTCACCTGCTCCCAAATAATATAACCGTCAACTGTGTTTTCTGCTTTCTCCCATTTTCTAGTTGCACTGATAATTCTATAACTCCAGCAATTGTTATTAAATTATGATTATACTTTAAAATTATGATTCACTTTAAAAGTAGTTCTGCTATTGTATCCAGCTGCATAACTTTGTTAAAAATAACTAATCATGGCCTTTTTTGTGAGTGCTTTTTTTTTCTACATCACCAAAATTTCTTTTGACAGTCATCATTTGCCTTTTTAAGAATTCCTTTGTGGGGCCAGGGATTTAGCTCAGTGGTTTCGCCACCTGCTGCGCAAGCGCAAGGACCTGAGTTCGATCCCCGGTACCAAAAAAAAAAAAAGAATTCCTTGCTGACTGCCTGGGTTTGCCTTCTTTCCTGGGACGCACTCTTCCATGGTACAATGTGGGGTCTCAGCTCATGAGTTCCCAGGTTTCCGGAGTCCCCAGATGTGAGCCCTCACTCAGCTCCTTGGATACAATGTCTTCCACACTTCAGTGTTGTAGGGAGCCATGTGGGGTTGATGGAAGTTCCTTTTGGTGGGAAACATATTTTAAATTGTTTGTGGGTTCTTAAAGATTTTCCCCTATCCCCAACATACATAATTTTCCCTAGTGATGGCTAAGTGTAGCCTTTATTTATTTACCTTTCTGGAATTTTTTGTTATATGCATTTTGGATTCTAATACTGTGTTATATATGCCTTTTCTTTTCTTTTTTCTTTATCCTTTTCCACTGAGTTCTAGGAGAATTTGATCACTATTATTTTCTAATTTTTTATAATGTATGATAATAAATGTCTTTGTCATATAGAAGATGTAATTAAAATACAGTGAATGTTTCACAATTAAAAATTTGTTACAGTAAAAGACACATTGCTGTTAACCCATCTCAAAATGCTCGTCAGACCCATTTATCCCTCACCCTTGCCACCTTCTGAAGCAGTTCAGTGTCTTTTCATGGCTACCTCCATGTCCTGAATTGATTCAAAATGTTTACAGTAATTTCTATCAAATAAAAATATTATAGTACACCCTCATCCACCTTCTTCACCGGATCTAGCCCATGCTTCTTCTGACTCTTCCCCAAAGTTAAAAGGGCCATGAAAGATAAACATTTTGAATCGGTTCAGGCCATCAAGGCAGCTACAACACCTCAGCTCTCATTTTTTCTTTTTAAAATTTTTTGAGACAGGGTCTCACTTTTGAAGTTCAGCCTGGCCTGGAAGTCACTGTGTAGCCCAGGCGGGCCTCAAACTCGCAGCGATCCTCCTGCCTCAGCCTCCTGAGTGCTGGGATTACCGGTGTCTGCCACCATGACTGGCTCTCACTTTTTTGTTGTTGTTGTTACCGGAGATCAAACTCGGGTCCTTGCGCTTGTGAGGCAGAGCTAAACCCCCGGCCCTGGCTCTCACTTTTTAAGGCCACTCCAAACCTTCTTTCCTTGGATAAATTTTTATTCTCAATTTTAAGCCAGGCAGACTCATACATACCCTTTATCACAATCAAAGGACACTTTTGTGCCACGCTGGAGAGTAGGTGGAGACAGCACATGGCCGTGGGGGAGCTGGTCTGGGAAGGGATCACATGCTTTCTCTAGGAGAACAAACAAAAGGAGTAAGCCTGCCATGCTCAGTACAGAGGGTGTGCTCTGAGAAGCAGCTGAGCCCCTGCACACCTACACATGATGGGCGTGCGGGGCAGGTTGGCAGCCCCTCGGAGGTCCTGGCCCGGCTCACAGCTGCAGGACACTTCCTGCCTGGGGGAGAAGTCCTTGCTGCCAGGGGTGTGCTGCCCAGGAGGGATTTTAGGGGGTGGCTGACACTCTGGGAATAAGAATCCAAGTCTGAAAATCACTTTTCCTCAGTGGTGAAGTTGCCAAGAAAATCATTGTTATGGACTGTACGTAAAAAAGGTTAGGGGTGCTTCCTGCATTCACTGCTGACCAAATAAACACACACTGGCACACACGTAAGGTGTGGGGTGTCCGGCTAAAAGTGACAAAACTAATACACTGCCGAGCTGCACTGGGAGGAACCCTCCGGTCACTGCTTTTCATCCAAAGTACACAACTATGGTCACACGGCCGCCAGTTACATCTGGAATGCTCCTACTTTCTGCTCACCCAGCACGGAACTGTTAGGATCAATGGCTATTTAAACCTTCATACTTCCTTTCCAGGTGGGCATTGCCAATGTATCGTTCTACATTTTAGGCAAAAAGGGTGTCGGTGCCCACCTCTCCTGTAACACATCCCCACTCGGCTTCCACACCGAGGCAGGGAACAGGACCCTGTGTGTATTCTCCTTCCAATCTCGCCCAGGGCACCCATGTGGGTGGGGAGAACTCGGACTCGAGTCTGCACTGTACAGAGCTGGCGCTGCTGAGCCATCCCGTCCATTCTCCTGAGCAAGTGCAAAGCCCCTGGCCAAAGCCTTCTAAGAAGACTGCAGTCCTTGTAACAGGAAGGCAGAGAGCACACAGCAGTGTCACTGAGCATCTCCTCTGCTTCTTTATGCAACTGGTCTGAACTCAGGGAATCAAAATGCATGTGGGTCTTGAGGAATTATATGAAAAAAAATCATTTCCATTTTGCTTTGAGAATTTCAGTTCCTCTCTCTGGACTTCAGTTTTCTCTAGTGTAGAAAGGGCTGTTGGTGTAGAATAAATGACTTCCTTAATGACATTACAGATATTCGGGTGTTCTGGATCTGTTTTCAGGGCTGTAAGTGCACTGTGATGCCTAGTTTAAGGGCCGGGCTGATTAGGTTCAGTGGCTCCCTCCTGCCCCAGCCCTAACACCCTCTGCACTCTTGGCTGCTCTGCTAGAAGCCTGAAAGCTGCGATGCTTTTGTCTGCTGAGCTCTGGTTTAGTTCTGCTTGTTGGAAGCATATAATCCAAATTCAAAGGTGGGCAAAGGACAGAAGCCATTCTGCTTCTAGAAGTGGCTCAGATGGCGCTGTTCAGACCCTCTAATTCCAGCAATGCCAGAGACTCTGAATCCAGCGAGACCAGCTCTATCATGGGCCATGGTGGCTCCCGAAGCTGTGAACAGACACCTGCACTCCAGTCCCACAGTAACAGGAGCTCCCCAGTTTCTGGTAGTGCTGCCTTCCTCCTGCAAGAATCCCACATTTCTGAAGAATCCAAGGAGGATGCTGACCATCAAAGCCCAGGCTCTGGAGATAGGCACAATGGGGTTGTGGTCTTCAGACTGTTAGTATCTGTTTCATCTTGGAGACGATCTACTCTCTCTAAGACACACTGTCTTTGTAAAGCACGGAATGAGCAGCCACTGCCTCCCAGCTTGGTTTTAAGGATTTAACCCACATACAGCCTATACTAGAGCTCCTGGCCAGACGAGCCTCTCACTGATTATTATGCTCTAGTGGAGGATGCAGGTAGTGATGCACACAGAGAACTTCTAAGTTCTTCTAAGTTTTACCTTCCTTGCTCAGATTTAACTCTGCTTCTCACTTTGAACATGCACAAACACAGACAGCCTCCCCCCAAGAAAACTGACTCACTCACAACATTCACCACACACCTCCCACAGAGCACACTGGTCCCCTGCTCTCGCACAGCTCCTGGAACCTCCCAGCCTCAGTCCGACTCACCCACGGAGCAGCTCGGTACCTCCGGCCCCCACGTGTTTCGGGCCTGGCACTGCACACTGGAGGGGCCCCTCATGACAAAGCCGGGCCAACACGTAAACTGCACGATTTCATGTAAGGAAAATAAGCTTCTGTTTTCAGATACCATGACTGCATTCTCCACATGTGGTGGTGTGCACTTGTTAGGTTCAATGCACTGAGGGGCAGGGCCGCTCCAGATGCCCACTTGGTCATCCCTGCTGGTGCAGAATATGCTGGGCTCCCCCACGAGGTGAAAGGCCTTCCCTCTTACTCCAGTATTGCAGCGATAGGTCACCACCATTCCATATACAAAATTTTCTCTGTTGGTGCTAAAGAAATCTCCATTGGCAATGGCTGGGGGTGGCTCACAAGGAATACCTGCAAAAAGGGAGAGCAAGTTAAATAAAAAATGAATTTAAGTAAGGAGGGAGAAAAATCTGAGTCACTAAACTGTTTTTATATTCATTATTTGTTTTTAATATTTACTAACATATAGCTAGTTTTTGTAAATTTGTCCTGGCATAATAGCATGCATTCTGCCTTTCCTACTATTCCCTGTAAACACAGCATTTATTAGTACAACCCTCCTTCTTTCAGTTTTAAATAGGGTTATGTTATTATAGAGTTTACACAATTTTACTCTTTTCCCCTTGTTTTACTAATTTTCATCTTGGTTGTTAACTGACTGTAGTTTTTTAAAAAAATGATAAAAACTTTTGGCAAAAGAAATAGTATAAGCAAAGAAAGAAATCACAATAGGAATAAGAAATAGAAATGGAATATATTTGAGAATATTTATTAAACTGTAGACAGCTATATGTTACACATTTTAGAAATCTAAATGAGAAATGGAAAAATAAGTTACCAATATTCATTCAAGAAGATAAAGTAAGCTAGAATGGGCCAAGAAAGTTGTAAGAGCAGAAAAATGTTCATGTAAGTTCCATCAAACTTTCAAGTAACACATACTTCCAAATGTAAGCTCAAATGTTTCACAACATGCAAAAGACAGAAACCTCATCCATTCACTTTATTAAGCCTAGGCTTGATAACATAAGATAATGTCCATGTAGAAGTGGTGATATATTTGTCCAAAGCCCCTTTGTACATTTGAAAATGTAGAAGTTGTATGTAGTATACTGCATATTAAGCTAGAACTAAATTTTAACCAATACCCCAAAATACTCAAAAATTTAAATTCTTAAGGAAGCTTCTGCTTCTAGTCATGGTAATCTCAATAATTCACAACAAATAACACTTCTACTGGTCCCAAGAAAGGTTATAAATGCTGGAAATTTAATGAACACATCTGTGAAGCTCAAAGAGCTAACCAAATAGTGAAGCGTTACTGGGCCAAGGGCAGGGAGAAGATGAAAATCCAGGGTGGGGAAAGCCAGGTTGAGAGAACATAAATATGCAGGCAAGAGCTTTGGTCTGCTTCTCCCCGGGGAATAGGGAGCTGAATCAGAAGGAAGCAACTGAGAGGTGGAGTAGACTTTTGCTAACGTCATGGAGTCAAGACAAAAGAACTGGAGTCTGGGACTTGCCAAAAATGGAAGCCATGGGCCCAGGATTTAGCTCAGTGGTTTCATCTCCAGTTGTGCAGGTGCAAGGACCCAAGTTCAATTCCCGGTACCAAAAAAACAACAACAACAAAAAGGAAGCCCTAGCGAGACCTTTCAAAGTTTACTGGTACAACAGAGGACTAGGATTTGGGAACTAAAATTAATTGAAAATAACCTGCTGTCTTAAAGACTGGAAATGCTCTTCAAGTACTGTAGGTGGCTCGAAATATGATAGTAACCAAGATTGAATTAAAGTGCTCCCAGCTTTAGCGTCCTTTGATGCAGTGAAAACAGAAAAATCCTCTCTGGAAGAAGCCGTGTTGATGCTACCCTTTAGGGCTGTGGGGTCCCTAGGGGTGCAATTTTGGTGGAAGCATCAGGAGCTGGGATGTGCACCTAACGGAGACTGTGGGACCCTTCTCCTGCACTCTCTTCGTTATGGGTTCATGATGCAAGCATCTGCACTCTGCCACCTGCTCCTGCCCTGCTGTTCAGGCCATCAGAGGCCCACAGCAAGGGGCTATTTGCTCATGGACCGGAACCTGGGAGCCCAAATAGTCCTCCTCTTTTCTAAGTTAATATCTCAGGTATTTCATTATAGTGATGGAAAGCCAACTAATACACTCATTTAATATCTTGAGATTATTTACCTCTTTGAAATTATTCCTACAGACACGTTTTAAAATATAATTCCTGATACACAAAGATAACCAGACATTTGAAGAGATAACATGCGTAAGAACCAGCAAAGTCAACAATGACACAAATAGACCCAGTAGGGCTCTAGATATTGAAATTTCTACTTACAGACTTAAAATAATGAAAACAAATGTCTTTATAAAAAAATAGTTATTGGAATATAAAGATAGCAATAGGGAAATAGCAGGAGGATATAAATGGAGTTAAACTCTTTGGATTGTTTGCATTGTTTAAGAATTGGTAAAAACAATTTAAGTTACACTGTAATAAATCAAGGATGTACATTGCTTCTAGGTCACTCATTAAAAAGAAAAAAATAATAAAATAAAAATAGCAAAAAGGCTACTGAGTAGAAAATTTGGACTAATAAAATATTTTATTAATTTTAAAACTGTGAGAAATGAGGAATAAAAGAACAAAATATGAAACAAATAGAAAATAAATGGTGTTAGACTTATACCTAATTATATCAGTAACCATATTAAATCTAAATATTCTAAACACTTCACTTGTAAACAAATTATGCAGCAAATTTAAAGAATATGCAGATAAATGATTGAACTTATAAGTAAATTTGGCAAGATTGCTAGGTCCAAGGTCAAACAAATAGAATGAACTTTAAAAAATAATATCTAGGAGTAAGTCTAATGAAAGATGTAAAATATTTCTATAATGCAATTGAAAGGCCCCAAGTTCGACCTCCACCCGAGCAGCCCCACTCCCCGCACCCACAGGAGCAGAGGACACAAGAAGCCGCAGCTGCCCGCTGCTCCCCACCGCCCTGGGTATCAGCCAGCCCAGCCCATCACCACGGGCTCTAAAATCTCCCACCCGCTCGGCCAGTGCCCCCTCCCTACCTAAACTCCCCTATATCAACCGCGAGCGCTCTCCTCGCAGTGCCAGCGGCCTTCTCACCCTTGGCCCGTCTGCACCCAGATGGCAAGAAGCTCATGGCATGTTGCTTAGACTCTGCCTGCCTCGGCGGTCTCAGTTGTGCCTTGGTCTGACCCAACAGTAATGTGATACTTCTAAATTGTAATGTGTAATACAATATAATGAAAATTAGCAAATATTATTGAAAGAAATTAAGTATTCTAAAAAGGGGGGTATCACATTAATGAATTTAGAACTCAAAATGTAAATTTGTTAATTGTTTATAAATTGACTTACTGAATTAATAGAAACTCAATAAAAATTCAAGTAGGATTCTTTCTGTGGAAATTGACGTGCTGATTTTAGATTTTTATGGAAATGCAAAGGGCCAAGAACAAACAACCAAGTCTCAAAGAAGCACACAGAAGCTATATGCCACCAGGTAACAAGTCTTAATATAATGCTACAGAAACTTAATGGGTAAAGAACAGAGGCTCTCTGGAACAAGACCATCATATAATGCCATCTGACTAATGCCTATGATTCCATTGTATGGCAGTGTGCAAGGAATGATCTTTTTAATAAACAGTATTAGATCAATAGCCCATCCACTATGAAAATAAAACAAAACTCCCCAAAACTTAACCACCCGCCATGTAAATCACAGACTTAAACATGAAGACAAAATAATAAAGTTTATAGAGCATAACAAGGGAAAGCATTCCTCATAACAGGCAAGGATTTCTTGAGTAGAGCAAAAAAAGCAGTAACTAGAAAGGAAAAATTCATAAATTGACTACTATTAAAATATAGAACTTCAGGGCTTGGAGTGTAGCTTCATGGTAGATCATTTGTTTAATACACGAAGCCCTGGGTTCAATTTCTAGCATGCTCCTCCCAAAAAGTAGAACTTCCATTTTCAAAAATTATTATTAAGAAAGTAAAAAGGCAAGCCACAACCTAAAAGAAAATATTGTAACATAAATACTTAATATTAAACATTTTAACAAAAATAATACCTGTATTGGGAAATACAAGCATATATAAAGAACTTTTATAAAACAATAAAAAGGTAAACAGACTAGTAAATAATGGGAACAAGATTTGAGCAGTACTTCACAAGCATATAAAGATGTTGATAAGCATACACTGGTAAGCATAGAAAGAGCATCGAAAGTCATTAGAAAAAATGTAAATTATTTTAAGTTGTCTGGACGTGTGTGTAGCGTTACAGAAATCACACTGATTTGGCTCGAGATCTTTGTCACTGATCACAGTGTTACTTAATTTTCATAAGAAGAAGAGAGCTAGGTCTAGTGAACAGAAGCTCAGTTTGAATGGGTGCAGGAAAGTCATAGTTCATCAACAAATTGCCAGACTTAACGCTATTTACTGAGGTTTAGCTATAGGGAAGTTTACAGAATTAGAAATTGAGATAAAAACATAGATGCAGGTATTATCTTTTAATAAAATGAGATCTTACCTGTGTGTTATCTGTCTTGATTCTTTTTCACATAAAATATACATTTTTATGTCATTAAGTGCTTCTTCATGCTATTTTTAGTTTCACAACACTCTAGTGTATAGATGTATTTCTCATAATTTTGTATGAATGTTTTATGTTTCTAAGGAAATTCTTTAGAATCATTTTAGCTTATCTCTTTCCTTTCAGTAGATTATTTCCAAATCATACTTTGAAACATACAGTGACCTTAAGCTACTTTAACATATCTACTTTTATAAAGAATGCAGCAATGAAAAGTATGTAGTGAACTCCTTGAAAAGAATCTGTATTATTTCCTAAGTGTATATCCCAAGATGTGGATCAAAGTAAATTCCGACTTTCTGTCTTACAGTGCAGCATGCTTTTCAAGTTTTCTTGAATCCCCAGTATGTGAGAGCACCGGTTCGTCCACAGCTTCAGTAATGTTACTAATATGCCAAGCTGAATGACTATTACAGTTGAAAATGCAGACCAACTTCATTGCAAATTAACCGAAGTAAAAATGAAATCTGAAGGCTTATATACATTTAAGACCCCACATTCAGAAAAGTCACATTCCAGCATCAGAAAAAACTGCAGAGAACAAGTTGCGGAGGACACCAGGGGAAGATATGAGAATGTTGCAGCTGTCTTCCGCTCTCCTAAGGACAGACTGCACCAAAGGAGCTGGATAAGCACGTTTATAATTCCTGGCAGGGCTGGAGGTAGAGCATTTACTTCTTATGTCTGAGTTCCTGGGTTTGGTCTCAGCACCACACACAAAGAACCTGGTAATTCCAGGGGAAAGCTAGACGGTACTAGCAAAAGTGCTAAGAAGGAATGTTTCAACTTACTCTCACAAACAGGTGGTTCACTATCCCAATCAACAGTATTTTCCGAGAGTATGCACATAGCAGAGGAGGCCCCAATAAGTCGGTACCTAGAAGACAAAACAAGGGGTGTCAGATGTGTAACACACAGGTAACACAGCCACTTCACACCCTACTCCCAAAGAATTTTAGAGACGTGGACTTTTTCTACTTGTCAAAGCACTATTGCTTTCCCAAATTTCACATCTTCCTTTGGACTTTCGATTTCTTCTTTATGCTTGCTCACCTGGATGGTACTTCTTTTTATTACCACATGGAACATTTTTATAATCTAAGGTAAATTATAGTTATTTCCTTCAAGTCTAGTTTTTCAAAGATATGACAAACTTCCTGAGTGCAAGGAGATGTTAAACATGTTCATACATTTAAGTGGTGTCATTAAAATACATGGTGAATATTTATTTTACAATTTATTACACTAAAAGACATATTGCCATTAATCCCCTTCAGAATGCTGTACCCCCCTCACTCTGAATAGCCTTAGCACATTTTTCTCTCCACTTGCTGAGGCAGTTCTGGAAGTCCTCTTTCGTGTCATCATTACAAGGCATGATCAAAATGATGGTTAGTGCTGTGACCAAATGCTAGCAACAGAAGGGTAGGCCCATACAAACATGAGTGTGGCCTCATCCACCTTTTCTCCCAGACCTGACACCATGTGGATCTTTCCCAAAGTCAAAATGCCCATGAAAGGTAGAGTTTGAATCAATTCAGGACACAGTGGCACCATGACAGTGCACCTAAGGACACAAAGGAAGGCTTCCAGAGCTGCTTCAGAAAGTGGCAAGAGCAGTGGGATAAGAAGTGAGAGGAATACTTTGAGGGGCATTAATGGTAATGAGTTTTGCTGTAATAAATTTAAAAAAATTTAAACAGTCAGGCCAAGGATGTAGCTCAGTGGTTCTGCCACCTGCCTCTCAAGTGCAAGGTCCTGAGTTCGATCCCCGGTACCAAAACATAAATAAATAAAAAGTTCATTAAAAGATTTAAAAAAAATTTAAACAGTCACCATATTTTTCAACCATATCTCATATGTATACATACCATTAATATGTAATTCATATGCTTTACAAATGTTAACATATGAATTCTTGGATGTCAATGCTTTATCAGTAAGATTCACCAAACTAGAACCAAAAGAAATCCAAGCTGACCAAAAAGAGGTGAATGCTTATTTCATACTTAAAGTCAGAAATTCTTAGTTGTTCGGTATGCTGCAAAAGTTGCAACAATTCATGACATATATCTTCCTGTACCCAATATCTTATACATATTTTGTTAGATTGATACATACTTCAGTATTTCATTTTAGGGCGTGCTAATGTTAATGGTATTGTGCTTTTAATTTCAAATTGTATTTGCTCATTGCTGATACAGAGGAAAGCGACATCTACACAATTTTCTATGTGTAGGTTCACGTATTCACCCTCACAGTAAGAAACACAACAGCTCCATTACCACAAGAATCCCTTGTACTGTTCTCTTATAATCATACTCAATTCACTTCTTCCTGCTCCTGATTGCTCTTCCCCATTCTTAATCCGTAGCAACCATAACCTGATCTCCACTTCCATCATTTTGTTGTTTGGAAGTTATCTCGATTGGATCATTCAGAATGTGGCCATACAAGATTGGCTTTATTCACTTAGTATAATTCCCTGGAGAATCAGTGTAGACATATTTCTTCCTTTCTGTCGTTGAGTTACAGTCCATGATGTTAGGTGATGCCTCATTTAACCATTCACCTGTTGAAGGACATTTGGGTTCTTTCCACTTATAGCCTGTGCTTTTGGGATCACATCCAAAAAAACCCCAATGTTCAGATCAACATTAAGAAACTTTTCCCTTAGGCTTTTGTTTTAGTAATTTTAAGTTTCAATCCTTAATATTTAAATCTTTAATCTATTTTAGTTAACTTTTTATAAATAGTGAGAGCTAAGATTACAATTTTATTCTCCTGCATGTGGATATCCAGGTTTTTTGGGGGTTTTTGTTGTTGTTGTTTGTTTTTTGGTACTGGGGATCAAACTCAGAACCTTGCATTTGCAAAGCAGGTGGCAGAACCACTGAGCTAAATCCCTGGCTTATTCAAGTTTTTCAATATCATTTATTACCATCTATTTTTCCTCATTGTGTGTTCATTAATTGAAGATTGACTGTGAATATGTGGATTTATTTCTGGCCCTCTACTTTGTACCATTTGTCTATATACCTGTTTTTATGCCACAACTGTGCTCTTTTGATTACTGCAGACAGCTTTGTAGCATATTTTGAAATACCAGGTAGTGTATGCTTCCAGCTTTGTTCTTTTTCTGTAATACTGCTTTGGCTACTCAGTGTTTTTGAGGTTCCATATGAATTTTAGGATTGTGTTTCATACTTCTTTGTAAAATGTCATTGGAATTTTGATAGGGATTATATTAAATCTGTAGGTTGTTTTAGGGTGTTATGGAAATTTTAACAATATGAATTTTTCCAATCTATGAACACAAGGTATCTTTCCATCTATTTTGGATCTTCTTCAAGTTTTTCCTTAATGTTCTATTAATGTTAATTCTTTCACCTCTGTGGTTAAATTTATTCTTGTTAGATTATATTTTGATGCTATTATAAGTGACACTGTTTTCTTTATTTGGGAGTATTTCATTGTTAGTGTACAGATATGCTACTTTTTATGTTCATTTTTATATCATGAAGCTTTACTGGATTTGTTGATCAATTCTAACAGTTTTTCAATGGAATCATTAGGATTTTCTACACATAATATCAAATTGCCTACAAAAAGAGAAAGTTTAACTTCTTACTGTTCAGTTTGGAGGACTTTTCTTTCTCATGCCTAATTGTTTTGGGTAGAGGTTCCAATACTATATTAAACAGAAGTGATGAAGATGCACATTCTTGTCATATTACTGATCTCGAAAGAGTAACTCCACTTTTTAGCATTAAATATAATGTTAGCTGTGAGCTTGATAAATGGCATTTATCATGTCCAGGTACATTTCTTCTGTAGCTAATTTGGTGAGTTTTTATTATGAGAAGATGTGGAGTTCTGAAAAATACTTTTTCTGCATCTATTGAAATGGACATGTTATTTTCATCCATCCTGTTAATGATGGCATATAGCATTTATTGATTTGTACATATTGAACTATCCTTGCATTTCAGGGACAAATCTCATTTGGCCCATTTTATATGTTGTTGAATTTTGTTTGCTAGTATTCTCTATAAAAATTTTTGCATCTATGCCCACCTGGGATATTGTCCTATAATTTTCTTTTGTTGTAATGTCCTCATCTTGTTTTGGTGTCAGGGTAATGCAGAACTCACAAAAAAAGGGTTGGAAATGTTCTCTTCAAATTTTGGGAAAACCTTGTAAAGTATTGGTCTTATTTCTTTCTTAAATGTAGAATTCACCAAGGAAGTCACCAGGTGACTGAGCTTTTCTTTGTTGGGAGTTTTTGATTACTGATTCAATCACCTAACTCAATGGTATGTTCATATTTTCTTTTCTCATGATTCAGTCTTGGTAAGTAAATGGAATTTGTCCATTTTATAGGTTATTCAATTTGTTGGTGTGTAATTATTTGTAGCAGTTTTTTTTTTTTTTTTTTACCAGGGATCAAACTTGGGACCTTGCGCTTGTGAGGCAGGCGCCAGAACCACTGAGCTAAATCCCCGGCCCTCATAGCATTTTCTTATAATCTATAATATATGGTGAAATTAGTTGTAATATCCCATCTTTCACTTATAATTTTGAGGCTTCCTTTTTTCATATTTTAGGTATCATTTTGTGGTTTATCTTTAAAAAGTCTTAGTTTCATTGTTCTATTTTTATAGTCTCTATTTTATTTCTGCCATATTTATTATTTATTTCCTTCTTTAGTTCTTTCAGATAACATGGATTGTTTCTTTGCATGCTTCTTCTTTCTTAAGATAGACATTTATCACTATAAACTTCCCGCTTAACGTTCCTTTTTCCATGTCTCATAAGTTTTGGTATGTTGAACTTCCATTTTCATTTGTGTCAAGATATTTTTAATTTATATTTTGATTTCTTTTGACCCACTGTTTGTTTAGGATTGTGCTGTTTAATTTCCACAGTGTTATAAATTTTCCAATATTTCTTCTATTATTGATTTCTAGTTTCATACCATCTGGCTGGAAAAGATACTTGATATCACATTTAAATCTTCTTGAATTTTTAAAGATTTGTTTTGTCTAATACATCATATAGCATAGAGATTGTTCCATGTGCACTTGAAAAGAATGTATAGTCTGCTGATGTTGGATAGGGTATTCTATATAAATCTGTATATGTTTGCTGTTATTTAAATCTACTCTTTCTTTACTGATTTTATGTATGGATGATCTAGCCATTGTTGAAAGTAGACTAAAAGTAGACTAAAGTCCTCTACTGTTATTGTTGCTGATTAATTTTCTCTTCAGTTCTTTGCATATTTGCCTTTTATATTTTGGTGCTCTAACGTTGGGTTCATATATATTTACAACTGTTATATCCTCTTGGTTAACTGACTACTTTATCACTAGATAGTGACCTTCACTGTCTTTTTTTATTAAGTTTATTGGCACACTTTAGGTATACAATATGATGACGTTCATCATTGGGAATTTGTATCTTTACATGATGTATCTTGGTTCTTATTTTTTTCCCCATTCCCTGCCTTCCCTTCAACCCTTCCACCCCTCCTTATTTACAAGGATTTTGTTTCTGTTTTCTTTTCTCACATTTTTTTCTTTCCCTTCTTTCCTTCCCCAGCCCTCCCATTTCCCCTTCTCCTTCCCCTTTGAGCCTTTTCTTCCTATTTCAAATTAGCAATTATACATTTTGATTCTTATTTACACTTTCAATTTCTCACACCAGAGAAACTATTCAGTATTTACACATGTCCTATTTATTTCACTTAAGAGTATGGCCTCAATGTGCATCCATTTAGCTATAAATGTCTCTAATTTCTCATTCTTTATGGCTGAGTAGTACTCCATTGTATAAAAAAACCCCACATCTGCTTTATCTAGTCACCAGTTGATGGGCATTAGAGCTGTTTCCAAGATTTAAATATTACAAGCTGTGCTGCTATAAACATGGACTGTAAAAGCCACAAGCCAAAATAAGCCTTTCCTCTCTTTAGATTATACCACTTATTTTTTTTTACAGTAATCAAAGGTCACCCTGCTTTCCAGCAAGCACACAGATCTGTCCCCTAATTTTGTCATACTTTTGTTCATTGCAGTCAGGGGTTAAAAACCAGGCAGTAATAGGATAGTTGTCATTTCTGAAAGATGACTAGAAGGTAATATTCCTGTCCCAGAACTCATGCTGTATGAGATGTTGTTCTCAACTCACCCTGTGTTACAACTATAGGTAATTTGGGATCCAAACCGTGTGTCTGAGATTACATTCACCATGCCATTCAAAGGATCTGAAGGGGTTCTACACATTTTACCTATGGGAAAGACACAGAGTTTTAGAGCCAGGTAGAAATCACAGTCATGGAGTGCCAATCTGACTGCAGCTTACTGCAAACTATGGATCTGTATTCACAGATTTTGCCACTTTGAGGAAACTCACTAGATTGCTTGAGGATGAGCCACCATGAAGGCACCACTTTCAAAAGGAACCCCCTTCAAGTTCTTCCTCATCCCCACATTGTGACTCCCAGAAACATACATACATAGGTTATTACCAAAGTGTTATAACCTAATCGAACCAGTGTAATTCACAGGTCTCAAGCCTGGAGTTTTCTCTTCTTTTGTTAATCAATACCCTTTCCTTCTGAATCATCCATCACTTAGTTTTAGTGCAAACTGGACACCATCCCCGAGTGGATGGGGATTTTCTCTCAATTGAATCGAGCCTTGTGTTGGTCATTTCTTATAAAACTGATTCATAATCATGATGCCAAGGACTCAAAGTAGAAACAAAGATATTATCTACAAGAATAATTGACACATAATGTAACTGAGGCAAAGTTATAAGGTCATATGTGTCTCAGTTCGAAAATTTGAACAACTTGAGTCACCTTACAAACACTGGGCTGAGGAAGAGGAGTTTCCTGCCCAGTTACTCACGATGACACTTGTCTTCTGCACTCGTCCAGGCTGAGTTACTTTGGCAGGTGATAAAGAACAGTTTCTTGAGATAACCAGGGCGACATTCATACTTCAAAAATGTTCCGATGGGAAACTGAGACTGTTCACTTGGATTCACAGGCCTAGCAAATGGAAGTTGTGCTGGGGGTTCACACTGACCTGGAGATTGAGACCACAGCAACACAGAGGTTAGAAGAGAAACTTCAGCTCCATTTGGGGTCAAAGGAGAAAAAGAACATGTTTATAATGGCAAAAGAATTGACTTCCTCAGTAGGTATGTTAGAAATGAGCTTTAACATTTTTAAAAATCAGTATCTATCCATTAAAACGAGTCTTCACTATATTGAAGGCAATTATGCTGCGTACATAGTCTTTCCCTGAAAGGGAAACTCCCATTCATAGCTTCAAATTTAGGCAATCAGAGTGCCTGCATTTCGGCGTCATCCATCCCACGCTTGTGTGCCATTCTTTTGTGTAACAAGACAACTTATCCATTTTTCTTTCCATCCTCACACCTGGCAATCCACCCAGTTTAATGGGACTATAAGGTTTGTGTCTGGCCCTCAGCAGGCATCGGCACTATTGGAAGGAGAAAACAGAAGAGACTCAACAATTAACAGTACTTTACTTTATGAAAGCATATATTTTCTGAGGTATGTTTTGCATTAAATCCTAGACATAGCTTCCTTCCCTTAAGGCCTAGCAGGTTTAATTTAAAGTAATTAAAATGTCACTTAGAGTCAAATGATATTTGATCAAGAAGAAATATCTGTTGGAAAATATAATAATTTTGGTTTAGTTTGGAAATTTCACTTTTGTTTTTACTTCTTTTCGTCCCCATACTTCTCACTAATTAATTTAGATTATGAAGGGTACATTGAAGCCAGAGATTATTTGTATTAGTCTTCAAAGAGTTAACTATTCAGTGTTATTGAGTTTGCTTTTATTTTTATCTTTACCGGTATTTTCTTTGAATGTGTTTGCTGTTCTTTTAAAAAAGTATTTCTTGAAATGACTGCTTACATTTAAAAATTTTCAACTTGTGATAGTCTCTAAAATAGTACATAAGACTTATTTTTGTTATAAGTGTAGAATTCTGTAAGCATCAATGTCATATATATTCCATTCAAAATATTTTATAATTGCTGTTGTGATTTCTTCATTGACCTATATTTAGTTTAGAAGCAGTTTTGCGTAATTTTCATTTGAGGAATTTTAAAGCCATTTATGTATTAGATATTTTTGAAAATGTTTTATATAGATAAGACTCTTGTTCCATGATTTAGCATGTGGTCAACTGTGGTAATTGTAGCATGTGTATTTGTAAAACATGCATATAGTGCAGTAAAGAAGCAGTGATTTGTGTGTCTATGAGGTCAACTCTGTTCATTATATTTGTACAAATCATCCAGATACTTCCTGGAAGTGGGCAACTTAGTTTACTAGATGCTCAAAGAGTTGTGTTAAAATATTTCATTTTATTGTATACTTGTTTATTTCTAATTCTGTCCATAATTTATTTTATATAATGTGAGATTATATTATTATTTCATGAACACTTAAGTTGCTATATTTTGTGGAAGATTAACTCTTCATCATAATAAAATATCTTTATTGCCCGGGCCAGGGCCATCAGCCTCCAGCTTGGTGGTGCCCGCAGGCAGAACAGGCATGGGCTGAGTGCACAATGCTCAGTTTGGCTCGCTCCACCACTTTCGACCAGGAGACTGAGCTGAAGACAGAGCCAGAGAAGACCCCTGGCTGTGAGGCGCCCCCCGCCCCCAGGCCTCTTGGCTGTACAGCTACTTGGATCCACACTACAGAGGCACAGGGGAGCATAAAGGCCATTGTCCTGAGCTGCAGAAGTGAACAACAGAGAGAGGGCCTCTCTCAGGCTCCCTGATGAAAACTAAAGTCTACTGGAAAAGTGAAGAGAATCTGCAATAAAGGCACACCATACCACGTATTTGGTAAGTTGGAGGGATCATCACCTCCCATCGGAACCTGGACTAACTTCAGGGGAAAGGCAGCTGGAACCTGCAGTAGAACCCTGCAGAGTTCAAACCTGCAGGAGGACAGGGAGCTCAACTTGGGACTTGCAGCCAGAAATCTGTCTGAATCTCACGAGTATGTGACTGGCTTACTGAGACTCATTGACTTATAACTGCACACTGCTGTCCACACTGTCTATTGTGACAGCAGAGATACACCCTGAAGGAGGCCCTTCATTTTTATATTTTGTTATTTTCAAAATTACCCCTATTTCTTTTTGCTCTTATTTTTAATTTTTTTCTTTTTTGCTACTCTCTTAAAATTTTTTTCTCTTTTTCCTTTCTTTTCTCTTCTCTTTCTCTCTCTGCTTCACTCCCTTGCTGTGCCACATTGTTCCTCATCTCCCTTTGTGTTCCTGTTCTGCCCCTAATTCATATTTCTTCTTTATCTTTCTTTTCTTCTCTTTCCTTCTCTTGCCTGTGCCCTCTGGCCTCACTGCTAACCTTCCGCTATCTTTCTATTTACCTATTCCTCCCTCCCCAACTCCTTCTAACTCCCCATCCTGAAGGATAAAGTTGCTATACTAAAGAGTTCATTCACTATAAACATGTGTTGGGTTGGTCCTTGATTTTGATTTAATTCACAGTTAAAGGTGATAGATTAAAAACTACCACAAATTGTCATTTTCTAAGAGGTACTTGATGCTATTGTGTGGCTAATTGTATCACTAGGGCTAAGGTGTTGTGATTGATCTAATCAGTTGTCCTTCCTGGTATAATGAAAATGAGACAGCCTCAGAGCCATTAGAAACTCAAAACCTAAAGACCAGCTATATCTGGAAGACCCCTCTGAGAAACAATCACTCCATCAGTGTTCTAAATACATCAACAAAGATATTTACAATAAGCAACTTCAAAGTATCAACCCAGGAATTAAACCAAGGACAGTACCAAAAACAAAAATGAGAAGCCACTTAAGTAAGGCACAAACTCAGACTTCCACCCCACAAAAGGCAAATTCTGGGGGAAACAAGGTGGAAAAGTCTGATAACCAACAACCTGGACACTCTGAACTGATAGCACAGGAAGTAACAAAACAGATGAATGAGGCTCTAGAAAAATTCAAAACAGAAATAATTTCCCAGATAATTACAGAGATCGTGAGCAGAGTGAAAGAGATGATAAGAGGCTCTAGAACAGAAACAGATTAAAAAACAGATGAGCTCAGAAACATGCTGGAAGCCATAAATGCCCAGCATAAGAAAGAAATGGAATCCATGAAACAGATTCAAACAGATATTCAAGAGATTAAAAACTCCACTGAAAACATGCAGAGCAGATCAAGGGAATCTGAAGATAGAATATCAGATATAGAAGACAAGATTGCAGTTAAGGACCATGAAAACAGAGATCTCTTCAAAATAGTAAGGGACCACAAGAAATCAATCCAGCAGCTGCTAGATGATGCAAGGAAGAATAACATAAGACTGGTAGGACTCCACGAAAAAACAGGAGAAAGTACAGTTGACATAAAAAAACTGTTCACAGAAGTAATAGTGGAAAACTTCCCAGACAGAGGTGGAGAATTGGACATACAGATAAATGAGGCATATAAAACTCCAACTAGCCATGATAAAAAAGACCCTACACCTAGACATATAATAGTCAAGATCCCAGAAACCCAACAGAAGAACAAAATCCTACAGGCAGTTAGAGAAAAGAAACAAATCACCTACAAAGGAAAGCCTGTCAGAATCATGGCAGACTTCTCAACAGAAACCCTCAAGT